GCCTGGCCTGGCCTTTGAATATGATAGAAATGGGGAGTCGAGGAGGCAAATTATAACAATTAGTTGACAAGAAGATGCTTATTGATTTTGCTGGTCAAGTGACACTTTGGGGAATTTGAACAGTCTTTTTGAAAAGCATCCAGCGTCAAGAGAGATACTCTTGAGGCGACCATTGAACCCGAGGTCGAAACCGAACCTGTGGATTGAACTATTGCCACCAGAAATTCGATGTCGGTGAACGTTAATGAGCTGCCAGAAATCATCGAAGCTGAAAAGTCAAGAAACGTGTCCCGAAGTCTCATTATGGATAGATTAAAGTAGCGGAAGTGCATTGACTTTCAATCCGAAATGAAATACAATACTCATATTTCATCGAGGACAAACACACAGAGTTCACTGAGAGAAAGATGGTGCGACTAAGTAAATGTTTAACTAGTAAAAACCGAGTGTTAGCCGAATGTTACTATTAATCCATGATAAAATAATCCTCTCCTGCTCTCTGTTTCTTATTTCTTGGTATAATTTTTCTGGCATTATGTTACTATTAGAAACGGTTATTTTTTTAATAATAGATCTCCTTTTTCTCTTGCTAAATTCGACAACACATTTAGTCTGGCTTAAGCCGTTTCTTTGCGCTGAAATCGTGAAATGTTTTTCTCTCTCTGCAGCTGTCACTGGATATTCCTGATGGCAACAAATCCTTATAAATCGCTATGACACATCCAACTAACAGGCGACGTGCGAGATAAAACTCTTGTCAAAACGTATTTTATGGGCCCGGACGAAAGCCTCCATAGAAGGCATTGAAAGTCGTCAAGGACCTGCGGCCAGCGTGGCACGTTGCCGTTGCTGCCTTAATAAAATTGATGTTTGTCGGTTCGTCTGTTGCCGGTATGTTTCCAGCACTTGGCTATGGGCAAATAATGTTGTTAACTCATTTCTAGCCAAGTGTGTGCTGCGGTGTCCCCACGGTCACATTTGAGGCCGGCCCGCTGGCCACTCAGGCAGTTGATGGCCTTGTGGGCATTTTGTTTTGTCAACAGCTTGACTCGGCCCTGCCAATGGGCGAATGTAATTAAGACCAACTAAGTGTGACGAAAGCGGGGTGTCTCTGGTGCCTGGAATTATGCTTTAATTTGCGTTAAAGCTCAGCCAGTGTAATTACACCTCAACTCGTGCCCACTCCCGGCACTCCGGTAGATCTCACATATGTTTATTTACTGCCTCGAGGGCTCGGCAAATACTTGAAGCTCGGCACGGCACCATAAACAAGCAGCTCAGCCCTTCCCACGCCTGTGAGAATTTATTCCTTCAAGCCGCTTAGTTCTGTAATTTTCTGGGGCTGCCCACTACACGCTCTGCAAGGCGCAACTTGAGGCAAATTAAATTGCTAAAAAAGGCAGAAAAACGAAACGAGGATGGGAGATTCACACCCCGCTCAAACACTTGCCTCCAACGGTTAATGATGCCGCTTTGTGGCCACTAAGTGTTTAACCTTCCAGACTGCGAGCCAGACTCAGAGCCAGACGAGGCATCAACGACGACGACGACGACACATGTCCCATATTTTACATGCGTCAAGTCTCGCCGTTCTGCTCCAAGCACAAGCTTAATTTTCCTTGGCAAATAAGCTTAAGACAAATTTTTACGCTAGATTAATGAGTTCTTGGAATTGACGCGTTTTCGTGGAATAATATTTGCCAAAGCAAAGGAAATTCGAAGCTCAACGAAAGCAAAAGCCCTAGATTGTGGCAGGTGTGGCGACTGGCAATAATAATAATCTACAATATTTCATTATTAAATTCGAATTCATTGAGGAAACTATTTGGCCCCAACATTAAGTACCATATTGTTTGATGACAGCTGTTTAGCTTTTATCAGCGTGTCCGAATGTCAGTATTGTGTTTTTTTTTTCAAATATTTGCAGCTGTAGCTGAACAAAATGCCGATTAATTTTGGCCTTTGATGGTCACATTAGCCAGAGCACCAGGGTCGCCATTGTACAATATTTCTTTACATATATATTTGTGCTATTATGTGTGGAGCCGCGCATGAGGTCCAGGCTAAAAATAGATGCAGTCATATAAGAATGATAGCCTTGAAACGTTGGCAGGAGTGCGTGGGGCTGTGTGAGATTGAGGGCCAGTCTCATTAGGGCATATGTAATTACGAGTATGGTGTAATAAGCTGAGAAGTAATGTGCTCCAAGGATTTCTAGCAGAGTTTCCCCCATCCCAGCCCATTCCATTCCACATCAAGCAGAAATATTTCTTTTCTGAATGAATTCCCATCAAATCACAAACAATGACTCTGAGAGCTTGTCCGGCTGCATAATATGCTTTGGTTTCCTCGAGCTAACAAACAAACATAAAATGGCGCATTTTTTCGATTCATTCTCCTTGCTGTTGGCTGTTGGCTATTGGCTATTGGCCCGGCAATCGATTCCAGTCGGGAAAAATTGTGGCCGGGTCCAGTTTGGCTTCCATCGGTTGTGGGGCAGTGTCGATGGGGGATAATTCTCGCAGATCCCCCTTCTCGTTTATTGAACAGCAAACACTGCAGTGTTGGCCATGGTCAGCATTTTGACATTGGCTAACCTTCCTCCCCATCCTGTCCAATCTCCCAGTCCAGTTGTAATTGGCATATCTGTGTCAGAGGCATTAGCTCGGGGCCAGCTTACTGCTAAGTCAGGCTGTGTGGTAGTGGGGAGGGGACCCTATCTGGGTGTTTATTATCTTTAAGGTGAGACATCAATATCAACAGCCTCCCACAGAATTCAGTAAGCAACTTCTATATGATTTACTTGTCTCAATGGGAAAAATGTGTTAACAAAGGATTTGGACAGATGAAACGCAATCAGAACAGCATCACGGTTCAGCAACAGGGTGACAAGGATGACCGCTGGTCAGACAAAATCCCTAACTAAGCTATTTAAATTTCAAATCATACGAGACCCCTTTTGCACCGACTTGTTAAGCCCGGGGCCCACACACACACACACACACACGGTAAAAGTATTACAGAAAATACTGCCAGTTCAGGTTCAGCGACCTTTTTATGCCAACGCTTTTATCTTTTATTTTCTGTTTTCATTTTTCTGTGTGACAGATTATTTTGAAAAATATACACGCTCGTTCTTGGTTGGTTCTATCAGACGCATATTTAATTTTCTATAAATTTACAGCACTTTCAAGCCTTGTAAAATTCGATGTAATAACATTTGTATATAAAATTTAAATATATTACGTATAAACATTACAGATAATCCTAGAAAACCTTTATAAATGTAGGCGTGAGCTAAAACAAATTTTATTTAGACACATTTAGTTCAATTTTTTTGCAAAATGCCGAATATAATAATGAAAACTGTTCAACTTTAAACCAGAAATTCTTTATATGTTATTATATTCACTACAAAAGTGGAATACTTAAAAGAAACCCTAATTTATTTTTATGAAATAGCTTAACTGGCTCAGATCTTTTCAAGGCAAACTTAAATTGATTGTCGCATAGGATGGGTTATTATTATTTATTTTGAATATGCCCGTATGTTATGTCAGGCCAAACTATGCATACATCATATCCCTAAGCCCTCGTCAGTTGGGACTCGTTTATTTGCCCATCCAACCGCTGCTGCCACAGATTATTGTTAGTTTCGTCAAAGAGGCAGACAGACAGTCAGTCAGACAGACAGACAAACAGACAGACAGTAACCCTTGACATTGCTCTTTGTCAGCCCAAATGCCATATGTTGCCGTGGCTCCTAAATACGACAGTGGCTCTTTTTTGCTCTTTTTTTTTGCGGTCCTCGCAGGCGACTCATTTAAATAAACCCAAATTTATGGCATCCACATACGCACGCACGTACTTTGAGTGATTGTCCCGCTAACACGGCTCCAGAATGTGCGGGTGTGGGCGAGGTTCTCGAAGTTTGTCGCATCTGATCGGATTGGTTTGGCTTGGCTCGGCTGAGGGGCCACTTCCGTCCCAACAATGGTGTGATTTATACGATGGGGCGTATGGAAATTTCATTACATTTTTATCACAGCCTCTCAACGCTCCAAGAAAAAACGAACGGAAGTTTAGTTTAATCGAAGTTGTTGTCACGATCCGCCTTGGCCTTTGATTGATTGCCCCCCATTGATAAGGAATGTGCTCCCTGTGGCCCCAGCATGCAAATGACTCGCTCCCTCCCTACCTCCAACCCCTCCACGAAAACTTTTTCTGTCTTGAAATTTTCTTAATTTGCAGCTGGCAAATGACATTTGCCTTTTTATTGTTTGTCGCTGACGCTTGGCTGCCTGGAATGAAGTTGGCCTTTTGCCGCTGTCTTTGCCTTCGCCCCCGCCTTCAAAAGGGAAATTGCACCAAATTGAAATTTGTATCAGCAGGCAACAAGGCGCTGGCAGCTGCGACACCAAAAACCCTCAGCCCAATCTTTTACTTATTTGCGGAGCTTCGTCTTTTCGTCTTTTGTTATATGTTTGGCAGAGTGCGACTTTGACGACAATCCTTTCTGTACCTTTTGGCCAAAGCCGTTTGTTTCCCGGCTTGTGAAGCTGTTGGATCTTTATACCCTTTGAAGAGGGTGTTGTAATTATTCCCAGAAGTTTCAAAGGCAATTATTTTTTTAGTATACTTTGTTTTCAACATTCGAACTGATTTTATTTTTACTTATTATATTTTTATATGTCTTTAAAACCCACAATCTTTGACCGAAATCAAACAATCAATTCGCAAAGGGTATCTATGGCAACGGCACACAACTCTGAAGCTTCCCTTACTTGTTTAAATTGTTTTCTATCCGCAGCTTCAGTTACCACCCACTCCATAGACCAAGCCAAAGCTCTTTGGTGTCTCTGGTGTGCAAATATTAGAATTGAAATTGAAATCGAAGCATGCAGCTGGGTCTACGATTGGCTTGGCTTGGCCAAGCGTGATTTCGATAAATATATTAGTGTATATATAAATTTCCATATTCATTCCTTTCTCTTACTCACCTCATAAAAGTAGAACGAATTTAAATTGTCCAATTCGCCCGAGTGGTCCGCTGTCGCATTGTGGACCGCCTCTGACATTGCATCTAAGTCGTGGCCTGGCGCCGCTGTCGTCTGGACAATTGTAGCCGACACAGTCGCTGTCGTTGTTGGCGCCAGCATCACGTGTGATATCGCAGGTGTAAAAAATGTCAGATTAACTGCGCTGCCGAGGGAGGGCGGCGACCCGGTCCCACCTGTCAGCGCTAGCTGGCTGTCATTGCCCGCCTCCTGCTCCGTTTCGGACTGCGACAGTCCTGCCGGAGCGGCCTCTGAGGCGGAGGCCAGCGTATAGTAGAGGGAGCTATCGAATAGCCTCAGGTGCAGCATACCGTGGCCGTAGATCCTGTCTCAGCTCTAGGCTCGAGCGGTATTTGCCATCCGCCTGTGGAAATGAGCGAAATTAAGAGAGTATTTAAAATATGGCTTAGCGGGGGGTGCTGTGCGAATGCTTAAAAACCCATAAATCCCGAATGAAAAGCTGCGCAATAAATGCTTTAAGTACTTTCCCGACATTTCCCTCAGTTAACATGGCTCTTGTGTGTATTCTCGTTTTACGGAGACCGAACACCAGGTGTTGCCGAGCAGCGGATTGTTGTCCTGTTATTAATATCGCCCATACGCCGCGTGTGACTTTTGTTGGTAGGGAGGGGGAGTGTGGAAACGATGTACATAACGGCCCAGAAGTTTATTCTTGTTTAAATTTGTTATCGCATGTGAGCGAAGCCTAAAAGAACGATTTCGATAGCAATAATCAGGGCTTCCCTGAACCCTCAAACCCCCAACAAATGGGCGTGCTCAGTGATTTGGAATAATTTATGACACCGCACGCTTGTCAAATACTATCATGAACGTGTCTCTAATTGAATTAGTGGCCCACGCACGCGATTTGACCCCTCTGGACACACTCGGTGTGTCCATCTCCATCTCCTCCCATGTAATTCAACAATTAGCTGCCAACAATGGACCTTTTAACCCCAAATGGGATTGTCACGTTTGAGCCCGTACAAGGGGGGTTGGGGTGTGGGGAGCCAGAAGAGCTTGTAACAAAGGAGCTTTGCTAAACTTTGAACCTAGCCTCGCTCGAAAATTTATGCATGCATATGTGCCTCTGTCTGGCATATCCATCTGTGGCCGTTCGCTCTCCTTCTGCCCTTTGACTACAACTTTAAATTGATTAAACACAACTTTGGGGGCGGCCCCAAAGAACGTGCCCTAAATTCTCAAATAAATTTTATTTAAAATGTCAAAACTTTTGTTAACTGCAGCCAGGTATTTTGTTCACTAATGTCAGCACGCAACTATTTAGCCAGTGATTTATATTGAAACCACACACACACACACAGCAGAAGAGTGGTATCCGTCTGGGTACCTCGCTCTCTTTTCTGACACATTCAATCTGTGGGCTTAGCAGGAGAGGCAGGGGGATTGAGAAGTACAAAATGTTGCCATTTTGATTTATTTGATAAATTTATCATTATAGCTCAGCGGTGGGTATTCTAATTCTGAATAAAGTCTGGAGATTAAGTCTATACTGATACCAGATAAAATCAATGAGGTGATTCTCTCTTTCCATAGTAAATTTTCTTAGCTTTAATGTTGAAAAGTCTATGAAACTAATTAAACAAATTTCAGGCTAAAATATTTATTATTCGTATAATTATTATTTATCATTGTTTTTGCATGCTCCCAAAATTATTACCATTAGTATGAAATTTCTTTAAATCAGAAGTATCTACATATTTTCGATCAGACTTTTCATTTGTCATATAATCTGAGTATATAATATATAGGTCAAACAACGTGATTTCCTTTGCATAATCAAATTTTTTTTTACACGAAAATATATGTCACATTAATTCGTTTCACATTAACATGCAGGAAAATGTTCATGAATTTCTCATTAATAATATGTAACATTAAAAAAAAACCGATGAGGTAATGTGGCACAAAATCCGCTTAATATTCTCCCAGAAAATCCTTTTCCACAGAACATTAAATCTTTGTTGTGCAACAAAATAGTTTCCTAGAATTTTGTGTCTAATATTTCACCATCTAATGAAGCTTACATAAATTGTCAGTGAATGAAAAATTTTAAAAAAGGGTTATAAGCCAAGGAATTTATCTTTGCAGCAGTTTGTCGATGGCCTCTGGCAAATCATTGGCCCGGGGCTTAGTTCTTCATTTTCGATATTTACATATGGAAATGGCCCAAAGAGCTTTGAAGTATTTTTGCCGGCGAATCAACCCATTTGGGCTTTGCATAAGTAGATTTGGGTATTAAAGTTTTAGGCTGCTGTTAATGCGCATTTAATTTGCATGCAAAATAGCCAAAAAATAAGTCTAAAACACCTCCCTCTGGATAGCAGTATTCTGGCTTCTGGCATTGAGTGAAATTTGATTGACATATTTTGAGTAAGCTGACAAACAAACCAACATTTCTCTTGGCAGCCGATTTGACTTGAGCCACTGCCACTGGCATTTTAGCATAGTCGCTGTCACAATTGGCGCTAAAACCTTCGAGCAGCATCGAGTTTGATTGTGAAATTGCTGAAGCGTTGACGAGAGGATTGCTTTTCTCTCATTTGAAGTTGATCGGCAATGGAGCTGCCTTAAAGCTGACAAAGGAGCATCCTTAAAGCGTCAGATGCAGATTAACAGTCCTCAGAGAATCTTGGCTACCAACTTGGCAAAAGTGTTTGCCTTTGTTGGCTGCATTTCGTTTTGGGAAACTTTGTGCAACGTTGCGTATGAGTCATAAAAGTCCAAAGCAGCTGGCTTTTGTTCTTTCACAATGCCACTTGCTGCATATTTATGTATTTCTGTTGTTTCTTCTCTGTCTCTAACTCTGCGATTTTTGTGTGGCCATTATATAAACCATTACGCTGTCTGCTCCGGAGTCACTTTAAATGTGCTCTGTGACAATTTTGGAGCACATATTGCACCAAGAGAGAGCAAGAGCGAGTGGAGGCGAGAAAAGAAGAGGAAGTGGCGTCACCAAGTTGTCTCAAAATGAAAAATTGATTTCACTGCAAAAAATATGGCATGGCACAGGACGGCACAAAGTTTATTGGGTCACTCCGTCCAGTCCACATCCACTCCGATCCTGCTCTGCTCCTTCTTTGCGTTATGTTTATGGACCGGACAATGCACGCAGCCCCGATTCCCTGTATGCAATTGCAGTTCATGGCAATCAGCGTCATAACGACCAAAGTTTAGTATTTCATTTCAGTTTTATGGAGCGTGACGCGTGCTGGCCACATAAAGGATAATTGCCTGTGAGTAAGCCAACTGGGAATGGGGAATGGTAGAGAACTGGAGCTGACTGCTGCCACTGCATACTGGATACGATACATTTTAATTATAGTTGCAGTCGTGCCACATCTGATACTTTGATTGTGTGAACAGCAGACTAATTGACAATCTGAAAACCATTTTCCGATCAGACACTTTAAACTGTCTCTACAAATCCACTCAAGAGTCCCTCGCCTAAAGTAGCCCGTAAATTTTAATCTAAACGCCAGACAGAGACGTGCGACTCTATGCTGGAAAACGGACCCAAAAATACGAGAATACACGAAAATTCCAAATGGTAGCCGTAACTGGATATCCAGGCTCGTTTAGGTGTCTGAAAGTGTTCCACATCTCTCCATTTCAATTTCCAGGCCTGGTTTTGTTAAAATTGTAAATAGACGAGCCGAGCAAATTGAAAAGTTGCAGCCACCAAGAAATACTGGGAGATGGCGAGTGTGGCGCCTCGGAATGGTCCCCGTTGGCCAAAAATGCCGACGCGTCGTTTCAAGGAGGTGGCAACGACGACGAAGGCGATGCCATTGAATGGCATTTTATTTTATTATTACACACAGCATGCTCGCTAGCTGCTTGTGTATTTATATTCAAATTTGTAGCACCTGTAAAACAGTTTGCGAAACAATGAAGACGCCGCCAGACATCGGTGAGGGAATGTCAGCTGCTGCTCCTTCAACCTTTCTGCCAGTGCCTGTGGCCCCCACCAGCATGCTAACCATTTGTGCAAAAGTTAGACAAATGTATGTTAATGTTGAATGCTGTGTGTGCTGGGCAAAAATTGCGTCAAGACATTTGCCACACGAGATTAAGTTCTCGGTCTCCGCTCCATGACAAGTTTAAAGTTCGACTTTCTTATCGGCCGGCCAGACATTATGAATGGAACAGAAAAGAAAACTTGACGTACACGCGCTAGAGGTGAGCTTCAGCTTCAGCTAAAGCCAAAGCCATAGACATGATTCTGCTTTTGCCCCGCAAATAGACAAAGAAAAGAAAAGTTAAGAGAATTGCGTATACGACATGTTGCCTTGACACCTTGTGTATGTGTGTGTGTGTGTGTGTGTGTTTGCGTGTGGCCTGGCGAGTTTCTCTACTAAGTGGGCGACTTTTGACGTATTCTTCTATATTTGTACAACGAACAGAACACCACTCTCATTTATTATGAATTTGTACAATTATTTATAAATACTTTTAACCCCCAGTCTGTCCACCTGTCTGTCTCACTGTCTGTCAAGTTTGTCTAATATGTGAGCACACTTAAGCACCTGATTGATATTTTGCCATAGAGTTTAACTGACAGGCTCTTGAAAATTGATACTTAAACAGTTTCGTGAAAAAGGAGACGGCGCGAGGCGCCGCTGTTAAGCGGTGTTATTGAATTATTTGTCTTTCAGCGATGGCCACCGAAAGGTGCAAATAAAAACAGAATCATAAATTACTTGGAATGAATTACTTGGCCAAGACCCCACTTGGGGGGTAGGTTAAGTCTATTAAGTCAATTATAAATAAATTATGCCGCTCTCATCCCCTACCCCGGAAAACGTGCTGAGGCTGGCGCAAAATAATCGACCAAGTGGATGGAGAGTGTTAATTAGCCAGAAGAGACGCAGAGTGAGGGTGCAGCCATAAAGGAACTCCAGCATTCTGCTGGGAAATTATTATTATTTATGCGTATTCACGGTATGCACTGCAAGTAATTGTTTCTCATGGCGAATGAGTTGTGAGTGTAATAATATATTTTCATTTACACTCTGCCCTTAAGCATTCCTCAAGGATACAGCCGAGCGACAGCTCTTCAATGGCCAATAGCGGACTAACCTCAGGGCATTTAATATTCAAAAATATTCAACGGTTAAATCATTTAGTTGGCTCTCTACTAATGCTGATGCTGGTGGCGGTGACTTCTCCTAGTTGGCTAATGAAAATGAACTGCCACGGGGGCTCAACCACAGCCCAGCCTCGGCTCTGTCTCGCTCATGTCAGACAGTCAGTATTAATGTTTGTATGTACGTAAGTTCAGAGTTGGATACTCGTATGATGTATCCCATAATTTATGCAGCACACAGAGCAACGCGTTCT